TCTCTGGTCCTCCGTTTTCGATTCTCTGCATTTAAGGTTTTTTGGCAGACTAGGATTCATACTCATCTTTAGTTAAAGAAATTGTAAAGCTGTCCATGGAATGTTGCCTAGTTATAATATGAGTAAAGTAAATGGAACTTATGCCCTGGAATTAGACAGTATACTGAAATGCTTAGTAAATAGATGTGAAACATGTTTTTTCAGCATTGGGCTAAACGTATGGGCAATAAGAACATCAATGTGAAAACTTCTCGGGGGACAAACATGTCTACTGTGGGAGTTGACATAGGAGATTGGGTATATGAGAAGAAAATACGTGGCCAGTCTTCTTATGGTCCTGTTGTATTCAGGTATGTGCTGAAACAAGGATTGAATGTGATTAGAATTAGGTACAAACAAACATACAGAAAAACTTTACTCAGCAAGGGATACAGCAATTAAATAAGGATCAGTTGTCTTTTAAGTAGTAAAAGTTGAAATCCTTCCAGTTCTGTTAAGTAGAGAAAAAGTATGTAAGGTTGAATTACACAGATTTAATATTAAATGTTGAAAGAAGTTCATAAAAATGTTCAGGGACAGACACGTTCCTAGGAGACAGCACAGAATATTTCTTTCTTGCTTGGAATTTCCTTGAGTACAGTCATTAAATACAGCACAGGAATAGCATTAAAACTTCTCACTGAGAAAGTTCCAAATATCTTCATAAAGCATTCAAGTATGTAACATAATCAAGTTTCTAGGTGCACTGAGTTAATTCACTGTAAGGGTTTAGTCTGAACAGAGATAAATTATGTGGTGTGTAACTAAGATGCAGGATTTTAACTGTTATGCTGAAGTTTACTACATTGGGGTTCCACTGAGTTTTACTTTTGGAAATACTGTTGAGTTACGATTTCTGGCAGAACTTGGGATTTTGGTGGTCAGCGGGAATATTATGCTACACATCAGTACTTCCTATCAAAGAGAAGTCTCTATCTTGTTGTCTGGAGGATTCCTGATCGACAGCGGGGCATCAGTGAGATCTTACATTGGCTTGTCAATATTCAGGTTTGTGCATTTCATTTTATATTTATTTTTGTGACACTATGGGATCCATAGATATATTATCAGTTTGTTTTAAAGAAACCTTTCCAACCTCTTAGAAACATTAATTTTTTATGTTCATATTTATTCAATAATATTCTAAAATTTATCTGTTTCTGTTATGAACCCATTGGCAGATTCACAGAGCATTTGTGCCCCTGATGCCTTTAGTAACAGTGACAGGGTTACTATTTGTTATCTTTAATGTTCAGACATTTCAGATAAGTCCACAGTGCATTTATATTCTTTGATAAACTGTGTACTTCAGAAGATGGCTTTTCCCAGGATTATTTCACTGTATAGTCTGGTAGATGTTTACTGATGTCTGAGCGGTGCTTGCTGCTTCTATCATCAGGACAATTGATTATGGAGGCAGCAAGGACCTTGGAAACATTAGTAAACTTCTGCCAGATTACACGGTTCAACAGCCCAGAAGACAGCCATCTTCATACTTATCACTATGAGAACCTGAAATTTCACACACTGTATACTTCAGCTTTGTAGAAATGAACATAATGTTTCAGGCACGAGCTCCAAACTCTCCTGTCCTGATTGTGGGTACACATTTTGATATGATGAGGGAGTATGACCCTGCATCAATTTCTGAGGATCTGCAGCAAATTATCAGAGACAAGTAAGTTTTAGCATGCCATTGCATTCAGAAATGTTATAATTTCTGCTGACTGCTGTGTCATTGGTTGTATGTGCTATATAAGCATCAAGGCATTAAAGTTTTCAGAATGGCTAAGAATGCATTTGGAGAACATTTATACTTTATTGCAACGTATATTTCCACTTTCTTTGAAGGTTTGTAATTTACTGGAAAATCACAGTGTACTTAAATACTCATTGTTCTGAGACATCACATGCTTTGCTGCAGATTCATTAACATTGTGGATGCAGAGAAGTGTGGTCTTCCGCGAGTACTGGATACAATTGAGGTTAGCTGCAAGACACGGCATAACATCAAGCTACTGTGCAATCTCATTTATGACACAGTATTTAGTCTTCGGCCACCAGGTAACAAGCAGGCTCCTTTTTGGAATCTTAGAATAAATGCAGTAAAACCTACTTACAATTGATCCCAAGTGACTTGAACATTTTTATGTTTGAAATTGGTTTCTATTTAACATAACTGTTTTGGGTGCAAACTAGTATCTATAACATTTATGTATTTGCTTGTGGTACAGATCAGAAGTTAGAAACTTTTACTATATATATGTGCTGTGTAGTGCAGAGTGTGTTGCTTTTCTCCCCCTCCCCCCCCCCCCCCCCTTATTTCCTTTGTTTCATTTTTTATTGTTCCCATTAATACATCTGCACATTATTCCGTTGATGGTTTAGCTTCTCAGATAAATTCCTGGAAGTAAATTGCAGGTTATAAATTCATGAACAGAAGACAAATATTCAACTACATTTTTTTCCATTAGATTCTTGTTCTTCTATTTCCTTGCTGGACAGTTTTCGATTATAAATTATTTTAAACTGATTTCTGCCCCTATATTCTTTTACCCAGGGACATTTTTCCAGTGAAAACAAGTTTCCATTGAATCCAGGTTTTACTGTAAAAATATGTGGAACATCTGTTTAAATGTAAAGGGAAAGGTGTTATAGAACTAATGTTTTTGTATGGCATTCACCGTGTTGTTTATTTCAGGCAGCAAAGAATTGTTGCTGGAACAGAGAGTACCAGCTAGTTACCTGGCTCTGGAAGATGTTGTCAGCCACCTGGCTGCAGACCGCCGGCACACAGGAGTAGATCCAGTACTTAATGCTGAGCAATACAAAGCAGTAGTGACAACGGAAATGCAGTATCGATATCAACGCAAGTTCCGTGATGCTGCAGAACTCCATCAAGCCACACTGTTTCTCCATGAGAATGGTATATGTTAATGTGCCTTGTAGTTATAATTGGGAACAGATGAAGAAAGACCAGTTGTCATACGGGTCCTTCGACTTCTTACTGCCAAGTCTGATTCTGCAGCCTATGCAGCATTTGCCAGGCTGTTCGTTAAAACTGGAATAATGTATAAAAGAAAATTCTTTATGTCCAAGATATGAATTTGAAAGTATTGATCAAATAGTTGGTATTGTATGCATGCAATAGAGAATTTCGTCTCTGACCATCAACAAGACGAAGGTATGCAGGAATGACAAAACTTGTGTCTGAATAGGTTTGTGTATTAGTAACACTAGGCTGTTATTTGGAATGTATCTAGTTTTAATTTCAACTGGGCTTATGGCTATCCTGACAGAATTTAATTTTTTTTCTTACTGTCTCCAGGCAAAGGTTGGATTAGTAAATTCAAATAGGCTATAACCACCTCTTTCCAAATCCTTACCTACTTGGCATTCATGATAATTTTCCCATCTCATTTGACCTATGCAGTTTAAAGAGTGTAATTGAATAACCTAAAATGTAATCAGTCCTAATGTTACATTTAAAAGTATCTCTATAGGAATCTTAATTCTAAAAATTATAAAAGGAATTTTTCTTATTTAGTATATGTAAATATCTTAACTCAATTATATTAATCCTGCAGTACCAGTTTAAGTAATATGAGAACAGAGATGTGGTGCTTTAAATTCACAAAAAGTGCATGCTTGGAGTAAAGTGATAGTACATTATATCACAGAAGACTGCCTTCTTCTTGGCTCCCTTGGTTTCTTAGGAAATCAAAGTTTACAGTATTTATTGCACATTTGAAGGTGATTGTCATATATTGTTGTTGTTGTTTTTTTAAGGAGTGTTACTGCACTATGATGATGCAACTCTGAAGGACCTATACTTTTTGGATCCACAGTGGCTGTGTGACATGTTGGCTCATGTAGTTACCATCAGAGAGATCAACCCCTTTGCTCGCACAGGTTAGCACAAGATGGAGTAAAAAACATTTCCTCTGTAAACACATCCTTGCAATAAAAAAATAAAATGTACATTAAGAATTTTGGTTTGATAATGCGAAGGAAGAGATTACATGGGACACTTAAGTATAAATGCAAGGATGATGTTAAAGTGGATATTGCAGAAAACATATATGAAGATTTGGCTGACTTTTCTGATTGTGTTGTTAAACTTTCAGGTTCCATAAAAGCAGGGAATTCTTTTTTATTTAAGAATAAACTTTTTAAGGAAGGTTGTATACCATGGAATGGTTATATAGGTAATCAAATCAAACTCTGTTCAGAATGTTTAATATATGAACTGTATCAGGTGTGATGAAGTTGGATGACCTGAAGCATGTGTTCAAGTCTTCAAGTATAGGACCAGTGGACACACGGGGCTACATTGTGAATCTTCTTAACAAATTTGAGGTTGCTCTGACATGGGACAGCCGCACTCTGCTCATACCATCATTGCTTCCGTCAGAAGAATCTATGCGAGCAGCCCACACACAGTTAGTCAGGGTAAAGGTGCTGCTCACAACTTTGTACAGTTTCTTGTAGCTGCATGCATCCACTCAAATGGTTGGAACTGGTGGCACCACTGCAATTTGTTTTCTAACTTCATATTTGACTTGCTTTTGGCATCAGAATAATGTGTGGCAGTCATTATACTGAGGAACAGTTTAAATCCTGGAAATGCTTGGCAATATTCAGTTCAGAATCTTTCGTCTTTCCATATCCTTTATAAAGTTCAGAGTTATAGTTTTATCTTTGTTTCTTTGTGGGTGGGGTCATGAAACTTTGTCCCTTAGTCTTGTAGTAAAACATTGAGATTTAAATTAATATTAAATTAAATTAATAAATAATATTGTATGTGTGTGGACTTGTTCCATCTGGTTCAAGAAAGAGTCTAGTGACAGGTTCTTGTGGACATGGTAATGAACTTTCAGTTTCTATTAAAGATAGGGAATTTCTTAGACTAGCTGGGTAACTTAGTTTTTCAAGAAGGACTTTGTACCAGGAGGAACACCATTTTTTACATTTGTGACAACAGTTATTAATCCTTGTTACCTTATGTCATACTGCTATCAGTGCTGAACCAAAATTTCCTGACTGTATTAGTCTCATAATCTTTTACCTTGAGGTAATTCCAAATTGCTTATTATTATGCTAGTAAGAATTTGTGAAAGTAGGCAGTGATAACTTCCAGTTCCAGCAGTTGACTAGTAAGAGTGGGCATTTTGATAGTTTTGGTTGTTCAATTTGTCCTCGATAAAAATAATCAAGTGATCACTCTAAAAATGTGTTTGCACCAAACACAGCAGTATAGCTGCATGATCCAGCTTTGTCTCTTCATTTGGCTTCTGTAGCAAGCTCATATTAACTGTAATGTGATTTGCACCTTGTTTCTTTCTCTAATACCAAAACACTTTTCTGTAATTTGTTATTTCTTATGTATGTATTTCTGATTTCTTTATTTAAGTAAATGAAATGAGAAATGCAGGGGTATTTAATAAGACATTGTCTCCAAAGACACTGATAAAGATTGGTAGTAATTTGAGTAGTAAATATCATTTTTTGGTTGTTTCTTATTCTTACAAGATAAAAATAAATATTAATATTCTAAGGAATGAAGTTGTTTGTTCATGTTATGTACTATTGCAGTCAAAAGGTGTAAGGGAGGAACTTCTTTTTTTTTTTTTTAATCACAAACCTCAACTATAAGTATGTCATTTGTTCACTTTTCAATTTGTTATGCAGTTTTGATCCTCAGTGTTGCACAGTTTGAACTTTCAATAATGACAAGTTTACAGAAACTGGCAGCTGCTCCACCTTATATTATTACAAGAACCACAATTAAAATGTTACATGGGTTTCACAGTATTGACATGTTTTTTTATGTTTTCTAAAACTTCCATTTGTGCATTTCTCCAGTATTTCAAGAAATGAAAGCAACCAACTAATTGCATATAAAATAATATCCAGTATTGAATGATTTTGTGGATGTTCAGCAGAACACTGAAGTGGGTTGCAAGTCACATGATAATATAGGGAATTATTGGTATTTTGTTGTTTATATTATAATGCTTGTTTTTTGAAATTATACAGGCATGTTTACAGGTTCTTGTAATTCAAGAATTGTTAGGGCAGGGATTGTAATTCTGCATTTGATTGTTTTCTTGTTATTAACTGGTTCTATGCATCTGTTTGTATGTTTAGATCCCAGTGCGATCTCGGGGCTGGGCAGTCCGCAGCAAGAAGCTTAGTGTCTCAACTGGAGCATCAACATTGGTTGGCAATTCATTATTTTATACTCAGAGCCCTGAACGATTCCAACTGCAGAGACCAAGTGCCAACACTCATTCACCAATGAAGATCAGTGGTAAGAATTGATATTAGCCATATTTTTCCTTGTGTATTATTAACAGACTTTAGTATGAGGTGGAAGGCTTAACACTACCTTATTGACCTGTGATTAGTCATAAGATTTTTGTCATTTAAATGTGATTCAGAAGCCAATTAATGTGTATGTGATTGTATTACCATTTCAAATCAAAGAACACTTTTAGTTATTTGTGCACTTCAGGAGCGATATGAAGTTCAGTGATCAGTGAAGCTTTTCGGGCCTTTATAAGTATTGCCTAACTATAGAAAGATACTGATGTCTTACTCACAATTTGAAAAATGCAGGTAATATCCGATCAGACACAAATCAAGTAGTGTAAACAACTTTAGAAGACAAATAAATATATTTATGGTAAATCAAAGGTTACATGTCTTAAAAAATAATAATTAGCTGTTGTAAATAGAAACTAGAACTGTTAGTGGAATTTAAAGTAACATTTTGTATTGTAAATAGGCCCAAGTATTCCAACAGAAGAAGGTGTAGATGTGACAGCAGCATGCCAGTGTGAGATTACCCATCGTTCAGACCCAGAGTGCTCCATTAGGCGCTTGTTACTCATGTCTTACTTCCCAAGTGGCTTTTGGTCACGGCTTATCACTAGGATTCTCTCAGATGATGCCATTGTTGACATTGTTCGTGCATTCTTTATCATGCCTAAAGAGGTGAGACATAAGTAACTTTTCAATAGTTTTTAATCTAAATTTCAACAATGAAAATCTGATTGTTCTCTTAAGGTTTGTGATTGTAGTCCATTACTCTGATTTGTCAGACATTTTGCTTTATGAAAATTTTGTTTTTTATTTAACATTCATGAGCCCAATGTGTTCTGGTACAGAACATGTACTGTACCATTTGAAGACTTGTCTGTGTGACACCATGCTGAACTGTGCTTATATAAATTTAATTCTATCACGTAATTTGATTGTGAACATCTACAGGGGAAGTTTAATGTAATAATTGTGTTGTAATGGTCAAACACATGTTAGTATTCCATTTGTTTGTTTGTTTGTTTGTTTGTTTGTTTTTTATGTTTAACTATGTTAATCTGTGCACTTTCCGTAGGTGGTGCAAGATACAAAGCTCACACAACTGCTGGATGTTCGTGCAGAATGGATACTGTGGCAAACGGGAATAGAACTGCGGTATGCAGATACAACTTTATTCCGTATGAAGGAAGTATTACCAAATGTGAAAAACTCACCTGTTGACTACAGACAACTTAGGTAAATAATACATCGGAAATTACATCATGTAAAATAATTTCCTCTCAAACATTGGTATCTACCTGCAAGCCCACACAGCACTACAACCCAGAACATCAGTATATTGAACATAGTCAATTATCTGAAGTGTGTTTGATACACAAAACATTTTGGGAGTAGGATCTCCTCATGCTTTCAAGTGATCGGATCTAATTATATTTTTGTTTTTTATATATCAGAAATAAAGACAGTAAAAATTATTTCTTCTATCTTCATCCATAACTGGTCTGTACATTTATTCACTATAAATGGGCAGGGATAATTGACAGTTGACAGTACAGATAGAATATTGTAAACAAATTATTTTTAATTTAAAAAAATGCATTACATTTTTTTCAAATAAGAGTAATATCTGTATTTTATGAAATATGTTTATAATATTTTGTATGATTTGTCCTTTATGAGGAAATTGAGAAAGTAAATTTTGTGTTTCACGTGAAGTGCTGGTTTTAATTTAATGTGTTTTGTGTAATGAATGCATGAAAAGTTATGTTGTTACTTGATTTTGTTATAATTGGTGTTGCTTTTCATACTTTATTTATTAATTTAAGTATTTTTAAAATAAAGTTGTAGTAGATTTAGCTTCTTTCTGGTGTTCACAAAATATGTGTAACACAGCTATTTAACTGTTTCAGTGTTAGATGTTATGTAACAGTAAAGTGGAGTTGATAATTTAGCTTCAGTTCTTGATAGTGTAACTAGAAGTTTGTCAACATTTTTATGAGTCAGTGCTAGTATTAATTTTATGTATAATTATGGTAACCAAATCTAACCTGAAGATGTTACTGAACCCAGCACTGCTTCTAATATTTACAGAGTCAGACTGAAGCAGGAAGGTGTGTGGGGAGATGTTGATCTACTGAACTCCTCTATTCTAGAGATTTTCTTCCCGGTGGATACTGTAGTTATAAAACGTCCAATCACAGATGAACTTGGAGGCTGTGAGCCAATTGGCTATCAAGCTATTGTACTGGACCCCAGCCCTGAATGCACAGCTCAGTTGCTAGCTCTTACCGTGGACCATATTGATATTCTACTGGAGGACTGGTATCCAACACTTGGTGAGTGGTGAGAAATATATAAACCAGATGAGACTATCACATTATTGGTTGCAGAGGTTACCTAGAATTGTTTAATATGAAAAGATAACAGACACTGAACTGGAAAGGATGTGTCATGTCCTGTTTTAAGGTAAATATTATAGCATTTTCCTGGAGAGACTGAGGATGATGATCAGTAGTGGGCAGCCCAAGCACGTTTTGAACTGTGCTTCTCCCAAATACATGCCAGACACATTACCACTTGGCCTGTCTTTTGTGATCCACTTTATAGGGTACTCTTCATGGCCTTTGTAAAAGGTAAAATTGCCACAACGGCGGGGGTCATAGATGTAGAGTTGTATACATTCTCTAAACTTTGTCATTGGTGGTGTTTGTCATAGTGCCATATTTGTGTTTAACCACAATAAATCCAAATGTTTGAACTTTTGAAAATATAATTATTGTAGGTACAAGATTTGTGCATACATCTGAAGGCCGCTTCTTAGTGACCAGGCTTGTACCGTGTCCTCGGTGTATGGCAGCCTATCTTGGAGAAACTGAACTGGTGCATCACCAACATCGAGGATCAGACAGCTGGAATGAAAGCAGCGTTCTTAGTGCAGCTCTTGGACCCAGACATGTTGCTGAGGTAAGAGGATCTCACTATGATCTTATTCTGTACAGATTTTAACAAAATTTTGGCAAAATTGTCATATAATTTAAACTATTGAGCTCATGTAGTTTCTGTCATGTACTTTAACTTTGCCTATCATAATTAGGGCACACGTTTGAAATAGAAATATGAGAATTAAATGGAGTAAAATTTGTATGTTGCAGGCCTTCCATCGAGCAGAAAGTGAGAGTCATTTGAGTTTGCGACAAGTACGTAAATCTCAGGAGAGCTATACATCTGACGGTGATGGTGACAGTGGTGTAGGACCTGATTCTACTGGTTCCAGGTAGGTGGACTGCTGCATAGATATTTTGGGACCAATAAGATCAAATTACTCTAAGTTAGAAACTGTAGTTGTTCTTTTGATATGTCAACAAACTTTCATGCATATTGATTTGTTGGTGTATCAAATGAATATTTACAGTAGATACTACATGGTGTTAAGGGGTAATGTAAAAATATTAGAAACTGTTTTACCTGCTTTGCATCCTGACCCTTGTAAAATACTTGTTGCATACTGCATTAGTAATTCAGCCTTGAGCAATTTGTAGTTGTCCCCCTCAAAAAAAATATATGTATATATATTATTCACGAAACCATTTCTATTGGGATACTTTTCTAATCCATTGCAGTTTTTGTAACTTAAAATTTAGAAGGTTCTACGTACATACTTTAGGTTGGTAGCATTGAAACCATAATTTAACATCAAGTATGTGAAGCAGGGATAAATTGCAGCATCTTGATTTTGTAATATCTGTATCCTCATAGCCGCATGCCATCAGTGGAAGGACATCCAGGTTACCATATAGATGAACCATGCCATCTAGCAGAAGAGCCAGCACCCCCTGTACATTTTAGCTGGGTTGTAGAGGAATGCATTCTGGCAGCATATGATCACAAGTCTGTCACCTGCCCAAGTCATGGTGATATTCCTTTGGCTCAGGTTGCTCCTGATACAGTAAGTTCAGAAGAACATTTGACGCTGAATTTAACCATATAACTAGCTGGGTTTTGTATCTTGAATAAAATAAACAGAGAACATATACAGAATTCTGGCTGAGAAATATTAAAAATTATCATTTGGTAGACTTACTAGGAGGTAGGATAATATTAAAATAGATTATAAGGAAATGATCATAAACATATCTATAAATTCTGTATGAGAATATTTTTTGCAAAGTAACAAGTAACAAACATGATGCTGATGAAAAATGTTGACGTTATGTCCAACAAATTTAATCTAATGTGAACCTGTGCTAGTGGAAATATGCAGAGAAATGGATTATCAAATGTATAATTATGAAATTATAATTCATTCTAACCTCAAAGATTAGAGTGAAGCATTTGAAGTAAAGCTGGCATCAAAAGTTCTTCCCACAGCTTACATACTAATATTTTTTATATTAGTTTAAACAGAATCAAACTTGGTACTCTGCAAATACAAAATTTGTGTGATAACTACTAGATCAGAGGGTTTCAGACATGATCCTGAGATTTGATGCCTCTGGCATGTAACAGACTGACTTCTAAAACATGGGCAAGAAGGAAAGAAGCTGTGATTCTGATATGACTTTGTCTGCATTTGTAAACACTAACAGAATTGGAATGTGAGCAAAGGTAATTGAATAGATAAATAGTCTTGTGAACTGGCTAAAGACAGGATTCGTTGTTGGCTCTTGTGAACAAGATAATGACCCATAAGAAGTAAACAAATTTCTTCACACTCTGAGCAACTATGAACTTCATAAGAAATACCCAAAAAATGGAATTGCTTAGTTGTCTCATATGTCTTTTTTAAGATCTTTTTCGATCTTGGTGAGAGGCACCTTATTCGCCCAGACAATATCAAGAAAGGACATCTGCTTGGCCGTGGTGCATTTGGCTTTGTGTTCAAAGGAACTTGCAAACTTCGTGGCTCTAATACGTATATAGATGTTGCTATGAAGATGTTGCAGCCTGTTCAACCGGGTGCTAATGCTCGTCAGTCTGCTATTATAGCTTACAAGGTAAGAACAGTTCATAATATGACTCAGTCACTGGCAACTAACCAGTATAAGCACCAGATATCAGGACATTTTGTGGTGTCTGCCAGGTAATTAATAATCAAGACTTATTATTAGTTATGATAATACGTGTCACGTTAAGGACATGTAGTTGTAGTACACTTTGAAGAAACAGGAACCTTATTTCTGGCTCTTAATATAATTTTTTAATAGTTGAATATTTTTGTGAACCCATAATTGATTTGAGTATTACCATGAGTTATACAATATTTTATAATAAAACTCTTCCAGTTTGTTATTCTTATTGCTTATAGTTGAAATGTCAAATAATTTTTTAAGCTGTGAATATGGGTTTTTGCAGGCAGCTCAAGGTAAGTGGGATCGGGACCCACTGCAGTATGCCTGTAAGGCTTACTGTACTGCTCGGCAGGAGTTAAACATTCTCCTGAATTTACGCCACCCCAATATTGTACCTCTTGTGGGAGTCTGTACAAGACCCTTAGCCTTGGTATTGGATCTGGCTCCACAAGGGGCACTGGACACCACTCTGCGTCATTACCGGCGTTCTGGGGCTCGCATTGGTCCGTATTGTCTCCAGGCTATTATATTGCAGGTATTTCATGTCAAAATTGTGTATGTATATAATCCACTTTTAGGCTCCCTTCCTTATTTTGCAAGGAAGGGTAAGCTTGTGATATTATCATGGCCATATGTGTTTCCGTGTGTATCCCACCCTAACAACATTTGAATCAATTCATGGATTTTTCATGAGACTTAGTATGATCATCATGCCATTGGAGATTATCCTGTCTTTGTATATATACTCTGTTGTTAGGTTGTTCAGCTTTTTCATCAAACCCAATTTCTTATTTATTTATATTATTTAATACAATATTTCAGGTTACATGTTTCAGAATATTTACATACTGTCATCAGGCCTGACATGGACACTATGAATGTCTTGGATGGTGACATCACTGTTGCTAATTAATATATGTTACGTAATAAAAAGGGAGTTGCTGAATTGATAATATTAGCCATGGTGTGTTTAAAGTTTGTTCACAAGAAACTTGTTTGAGATGTGTGTGGGTGATACAGAGAACAGGATACATTAAATGCTTGTCTCTTATGATTCCAATCAAATTTTTATTGATAGTGAAATACTTATAAATAATGTGATTTCAGTTTGGTGTTCAGTTATAATGTAGAAGTGAAAGTAGTTTGTGTATTATGCTGTCACAGGTTGCAAAAGCCATCGAGTATCTGCACCAGCAACGTATCATTTATCGTGACCTCAAGTCTGAAAATGTTCTAGTGTGGCACATGCCTCCTCCATTCCATGATACTTCTGACAGCAATCCTGTGCATATCAAGTTAGCTGACTATGGTATGTACTGTTGCCATTTAATTATTCTCTGTATAAGAGACAATTCAGAAGTTTCCATCTTCCTCATAACCTTATTTTTTTCTGTTACAGGAATAAGTCGTTTAACCTTACCCTCAGGAACAAAAGGATTTGGTGGTACTGAAGGTTTCATGGCTCCTGAAATAATGCGATACAATGGTGAAGAGGAATACACAGAAAAGGTAAAAATAAATTTCTGCAAAATATATTATATTTTGGTACATTCTTATGTTTTACAGTAGGTAGCAGAATCATATGTCAATAATTAAATGTTATAATATGGTGTTAGCACTTCTACTGTATATTAAGGAAGGCCTTGAGTTGAAATCAGCCTAGAAGCCAAATATCCATAGCTACTGCATCCAGACTGGCTATGGAACCCACACAGCCTCCTATCCACTATCCATTGGGTATTGGGTTATCTTTACTTGTCCATTCACCTCCATTTAGTACC